AGGTAGAATATAAATACAATTTAGTGGCCCACAAGTTAAAGTCCAGTTTTATTCAAAGCTGCATTTCCTCCCCTGAGGATGAGCCTGGCCAGCAGAAAGGCAGATGAAGAGTTTCATTGGTCCTCTAACTGTGCCACCACACTGCGCAGCCTATCCACCAGTACTACAGAAGACAAAATATTGTTAGAAATTTAGTGAACTGAACCCCGACAGTCACAGAAAGATAACTGAACACACTGATGGAGTCATTATTATTATTATCACCTCCAGCTGAAGGCCTCTGGAAGCTATCAAAGTCTCGGCACTCGTTTATTAGCTGCCTTAGTTCTGCAGGACAGTCATCGGGAAGCGGCTCCTTGCACTTCTCTTCAAACACCTTCTTATAAATTTCTCCATCTGAAAAACCTGGAAAACATGTACAGACAACTTGGTACAGACGCCTGACTGCACAAGCTCTCAGTGATCCAGGTTCGTGGTAGTGTTAGGCACTCAAAATGAAGTCGACGGGATTTCTTTTTGGTTTGCAAAGACATTTCATTTCTGTATGCATGTGAGTCATTAAACTTCACATGAACCAAGGTATGAATCAAGGCCTGGGCCACTGCTGTGTGATATCTCTGTGAGACATTACCATGCCGTGCCATTATTTATTCAATTCGATTCAATTAAATTTTATTTATATAGCTCCAAATTACCACAGCAATCACCTTCACCTTGTATATTTTTAAGTAAAGCCCTTACAGTAATACAGAGACATTAAGATAGTAGCTCGATCAGCTTTTAGAGCAGAATAAGTTCAAATGTCTTCCCAAAAGAAAATGAAGTCCACCTGCCTTATTTGAAGTGTTTAATGATACCAGGATAATACAAGTTGATTTTCAGCAGATACAAACCTTCAAAGGGTTTCTTACGGGTTGCGACTTCCCACAGGACGATTCCAAAGCTGAAAGACAACAATGAAAATAGGAACGTTTTAGAAGGAATGTTTTCTAAAGCATTTGGGCACGATCAGTTCATGCCCTGAAAGTCACCCAGGTTATGCAGCAGGATGATGTTGTGGAAACACACCAGCAGGTCCACCTTGTAAATCAGGGATATTATAGTTTTTCTATTTGGTTTCTATTTAGTTCAGTTTAATTTCATTTGGTTTCCAGAGTGAGTTTGCTTGTTTCAGTTTAGTTTCTATTAGTTTTGGTCTTAGTTTCTATCATCCATCCATCCTCCTTCGCTTATGCGAGGCTGGGTTGCAGAGGCAGCAGCCTAAGCACAGAAGCCCAGACCTCCCTCTCCCCAACCGCTTCCACCGGCTTTTCCAGGGGAACACCAAGATGTTCCCAGGCCAGCCGAGAGATATAATCTCTCCAGCTTTTCCTGGGTATGCCCTGGGGCATCCTCCCCATGAGACATGCCCGGAACACCTCACCGACGAGCAGTGATGGGAATAACGGCGTTACTTTTTTCAGTAACGAGTAATCTAACTAATTACTATTCCTATCGTTACAACGCCGTTACAGTTACTAACCAGAAAATGCGGTCTGTTACTATTTTTCAACAAACAG